CCGTCTCATTGCCAGGCACGCCCACGTGTGCGGGGATCCAACGGATCTCGACGGGAATCTTGTCGGACGTGGGCGTGTGAGCGGGTCGGAGGGCTCGTACGTGATCATAAATTTGAGAGAGCACGTATTGGCCGGAGGACCGCTTGGGATTTCGCACTGCCTGGATGGCAGCCTGGCAATCAGAGAAAATGACTGTCTGCTTGTGGGTCTGGAGCTTGGCGATCGCCATCTCGATGCCATTGAGCTCCGCAACATATACGGTGGACTCCTGGAGAGTCCCCAGGTATCGTTGCAGGAAGATGCCGTCCCTTGGGGCGACGGCGGAGGCGCCGACCTGGCCCTCATACCCACTTCCATCCGTGAAGGATAGAACTGTCGGGCTACAGTTCTGTCCTGTCGGCCTTCCTCCTCCTTCCTCTTGCATCATGGTCATGAGGCTCTCCTGGAAGAGAGACTCTGTCTCGATTCGGTCATGCGAGGCTCGCGCAGCCTCTGCATCTTCAATCACGCATGGGATCCGTGTCTCCCACGGTGATAGAACGAACGCTTTACGGGTCTCCCAGACCCCCGGGATATTCAGGATTCCTTTTGGTTTCCACCGGTGGGCTTCCAGTGGTCCCCATCCTCCACGCTTAGTGGCCTTGGTCGTACGCTTGTGGCGTAGGCATTCCGGTTGGGCCCATTTTGGCCCTGTTTGGATCCGGATGGCGGTTTCCTCGATTATTTGTTCCATTTGGAGCTTGATGGGTAGCAAGAATAGTTCCATATTGAGCGCGGCTGCGCTGGTTGACTTGAATGCGCCGGAGATCAGGAGGGCGGCGCGTCGCTGGATCCTGGTGTATTCGTTGGTGATCTTTAGCCGTTCTCCATATGGCATCGTTCTTGCCTTGGGGCAATACCACGCGGCAACGCCGTATAACATTTGTGGGACTACCACCGCTTGGTAGACCCGCCGCATGGCGTAGAGAGATGTACCCCAGGTGGAGCCAGTGATGGCCCGGAGGGCCTCGAGGCTCCCGTTGGCCTTAGCGAGTAGTTTTTGGCGATGTGTACTAAATGTAAGATGCTTGTCGAGCCATATGCCGAGATATTTGGCCTGTTCAACTGGTTGGATCGTCTGAGTGGCGGTTTGCACAGCCATCTGGTCATGGCCGGTAGGGAATGCATGGTCGATGTTGTATATGTCAAAGTCGCTATCTTCTGGCTGGATAATTCGATATTGGTCGGCTGTGGGTTGGTCTTGAATTTGGGGGTTCCGAAAGTGAATGAGTTCAAATTTCTCTGGTGCAAACTTGGCCGCGTGTCGATCGGCCCAGACGTTGGCCTTGGTTAATGCGCCTTCCAGTAGTTGCACGTTTCGGTAGTAAGACTCAGAGACAGCGATAGTGGCTACATCAATCAATCAATATTCTTATTCCTGATCTAGCTTCCTATGCTTACAGGTGCTATGCAGGGATTTGCGCCTTCTGGTGTCCAGCCCAGTGCGCATGCGAAGCTGCCCGCAGCGTGATCAGATGGCTTACTACCACCGGACCAAAGAAAGTAGTGCAAACGCTGCAAACAAAATAAGACAAACAGGACAAACGAAATGGCAGAAAAGAGAGCCAGGGAGTCACCGCCCCCGCGATCCAACGTCCCCGCGGCCGTCCTCAGGCAGCGTTGGTAAGGAAAGCTCCAACGCTACGGTCAAAAAGCCTCATCAGCAGCGCCGCGCCATATGCACCCATGGCCTCAACAGATCAGTCTCCGGCTGTCTGACCTTCCGATATCTGACACCCTTCGGCCCGCACCACCCAGCCAATCTCTCTCTCCCCTTCCCCTGTCCGTCGGCATACACTCGAATCACCGAGTCCTGAATCACCAGATTGCCGTTTCGCCGCGCTGCACCGCTCGCTTCCGATTGGCAGGCCTGAATCACCAGGTTCTCGAATCACCGAGTGGGCCGATCTCCACATTCTCTGCACACATCCCCCGCACACACACGGCCTTCGCCGCTTTCGCTCGTGGTGGAAATCAAGGGGGCACACTGAGATCCTGGCAGTTTGCCCCTGGTTATGTGTCCCATCGGTCTCAAAGGACCACTGCCCTAGGCGCATTCGATTGATGTGGCGCTTTTGGATTAGGATGGGTCAAGGTGGATCAAGAGCCATCCTGTTCAACCACCCCCGTCGCTGCTGGGTCGACATGGCGGAACTGGTCGAGAAGCTTCGACGAGAACATGAACTGAGCGAGGACTAGCCTTGCTGGGAGCTGTTGCAAGAGTTCGTCGGTGCCGAGATGCATCGACACCCCTACCTCTGCTAGACTCTCTCTCATCGTCTGTCTTTCCTCTTGTAGCAGTGGGCATTCGAGCAAGATATGGGGGACTGTTTGGTTCCCTAGGTTGCATTCGCAGCTTGGTGAGTCTCGAGCGTTGATTTTTGACAGATAACCGGCTAAGCCGATCTTGCCAGTGCGTAGTTGGATCAAAACTGACGATGTGGCCTTCCGCAGATTCTCCCAATAGGCTAGATTCTTCTTGTGTGGCTGTTCGATCAGCCGTTTCGTCGAGCGAGCCCCCCTCTCTTTCCACCACGCAGCCTCCCAGGCCTGCTTCGCCCGCTGTCGGATACGTCGTTTCACCGCTGATGCAAGAATGATATAACGGTTGTCTTGGTTGGTTAGATCAGTGTCGGCCAGGGCGGCCTCCTTTGCGGTTACATCGGCTAGCTCGTTTCCTAGTGTCCCTTCGTGGGCCGGGATCCAGCGAAATTCGACCTGATGACCTTGGTCGTTTAGGCTTTGAAGATGCTGGATGGCCGAGACTAGGTAAATCTGGCCTGACGGCATCCGCGGTCGGCGAAGGGCCATCAGGCCGGCCTGGCTGTCGGTGAACACAACAATCTTGCGAGACTGGTCCGCTGGTGCTCGGGTTTTCGGCTGGGGGATTTCTGATTGGATAGCTGGCTGGATTGCCGGCTGGATTGGGAGCTCGCTGGCCGCTTCGGCCGCTTTCCACATTAGTGAGAGGACCATATCGATGGCGCGAAGCTCTGCGGCGTAGACCGTGGAGATTCCTTCCGTGCCCATCTGCGACCGAGCTTGGGTGATCTCATTTCCACTAACCACCGCACCAGCGCCCACTCGACCTTCGTAGCCACTGCCGTCTGTGTAGACAACTAAACTATCTTGCCTTGATAGTATCTCATCGTGCTGCTTCCTTGCTGTTTCCCGGTCGGAGATAATTACCGTTGGAGGCACACGCCAGGGCTCTCGGGCGTACGCAAGACGGCTCTCCCAGACTCCCGCCAAGAACTCAGGGGGAGCCGTTAAGCAACCACCCTTCTTCCAGGCCTGTGCCTCCATTGGAGACCATCCCGATCGGTCACGTTGGGCCTTCGGTCGTTGGTGTATCATGGATTTTGGCACTGCATAGGCAGGCCCTGTGCGAATTCGTAAGGCTGTCTCTTGTGCTATCCTCGTCATGAGGATTGGCATCGGCATTAGGCTTAGTTCCACACACAGCGCAGCCGCGGCCGTCGTTTTGAATGCACCTCCAACGACGCATGCTGCCTGGTGTTGGAGGTCCCCAAAGGGTCTAGCAGTTTGCATTTGCTTTGCTTTGGTCCACTGAGGTTCATACCAGGCTGCCAGACCATAGAGAATCTGTGGGATCACTATAGCCTGGTATAGCCGTCGCATCGAGAGTAAAGAGGCCCCCCAGGTCGATCCTGAGAGCGATTTGAGAGCTTTTAGGCTTGATTGGCCCTTGATAAGAAGCTTCTTGCGATGAATGTCGAATGTAAGTTTCTCGTCGAGCCAGAAGCCAAGATATCTCTCAGCTCCAGTAGACGCCTGGATCACCACGTCGCCAAGGCGAAGCGGAGTATAGCAAGGCTCTTGCTGAGGCCCCACGAAGTGAACCAGTGCATATTTCTTGATATCAAAGACAGATGCATGTCGCTTAGCCCATTGCTGGGCTAGACCACATAGCCGCTGGAGCTTTCTAGTAGTTTCGGCTTCCGTGCGGCCAATGGCCATCGCTCCAGCGTCGTCCACCCATCCGTGACCAAAGGTCTTTGGGCCGTTGAAGAGTTCGATGAGGTCGGAGTTATAGATAAGGTAGAGGATAGGGGATATTGGTGAGCCCTGTGGGATGCCAGTTGGTGTAGGAATTCGGTCGGATAGGCCCTCAGGCATGCGGATTTTTGTCGATCGGTCAGAGAGGAAGGCCTGCACCCACGGCACAAACCATCCAAGCCTACGCTTACGGAGGTTGTGGAGTAGCCGAAGATGTGCTACGTTGTCATAGGCGCCAGAGACGTCTAGGAAAAGCATAGACACGACCTGCTCGGCCAGAGAGCCTTTCCCCCAAGCGGTCCGAATGCGGTCGAGAATGATCTGAATGGCGTGGTCGGTCGATATACCCTTCCTACCACCAAGATGGCCAGGGGGCAATAGACCATATTGTTCAACAAGATATGAAATACGTTTGGCCATCACCGATTCCAATGCCTTTGCAATGGTGTTTAGCAGCGCTACAGGGCGATAGGATTTCGCAAGCTGGTAGTCTCGGTCACCTGCCTTGCGTAGCACTACCGTTATTGATCGCTGAAAATGCTTAGGGTTATAACCTGCGCTCGCACACGCGTTGAAGAGCGAAGTGAGGTATGCCAGAACCTGAGGGATCTTAATGATCTTGTGCCATAAACCGTTCGGGATAGTATCGTCGCCAGGCGCTCGTCTGGCCGGTGCGCGGAGGATAGCCTCTTCGATCTCGTGTGGCTGAATTGGTGGCATGTCGATTTGGTCAGGGTATTGGAACCCTTCGATGTCCGAGAGCTCCGCCGGTGGTGGTATTGGAAAGAAGGCTGTGCGGAAAGCCTCGGCTTTCTCGCTGACCGTCTCCGCAAGAGATTCTGTTCCAGTCTTCAACGATGGTGTAATGCCTCGCTCGTATGCGCCTTTGCGATTCCGCGCCCATTTGGCAAGCTGCCATAGGCCTCTCTCTCCCTGTTCGATCACGTGCTGTACGCGTCGACGATGTGCTCTGGAAAGCTTCGACTTGATGAGCCTCACTTTCTTGTTCCTGGCCATCGTATAGATGGCCCAGTCTTCCATATCCTGCGTGCGCGAGAATACGCGGCGGAGTCTGCGCGCCTCTTTAATAGCCTCACGGCATTCTTCATCGAATCCAGGATTCGACCAAGAGGATGGGTCAGCCCAGGGCGTAGAGAACTCCACCGCCGCATCCACCACGCGCATTAGCGCTGAGCAGGCCAGTTCGATCGTTTCTGGCCTAGTCAATGTATTGGGTGGTGGTGGCAGGTGTTGTTCGAGGTATTGTTTCAATTTCTCGTCATCGGTGGCTTCCCAATTCCGTCTTCTTGGCTGTGTGAACTGTGGCGTAGTTATATCGAGGACGGTGCGGATTGGAAGATGGTCGGACTGGCTATCTACGTCATTGGCGATCTCGCAGGTAGTCAGGCAGTCTAGCAAGCTACTAGATACGAATGTGAGGTCGATGACACTCTTCAACGGGCCCTGTTGCCATGTAGGCTTGCCTGGCTCTCCCACATAGGTTAGAGATAGGTCAGGGAGGATCGAATCCACCAAGATGTGAGCTTCTTGCTCGGTCTTTCGAACGGAAGGGCCACCCCACAGAGGATGATGGAGATTGAAGTCTCCTACCACGACGTGTTCCGCCTCCGGTCGTTTCGCAATTTCGCTGTATAAGCGTTGAAGTTGCTCTTTGTTGGTGTCATGCCGATATATATTGTGCACGAAGAGATCCGTCCAGCCATCGCGCTGATTCCGCCGGAGTTTTAGAATCTGGTAGTCGGCGTTGACTACCGTGTGGGACCATATAGAGGGGTCAATCCGCTTCGAAACGAACATACAGACCCTGGTTCTTTCCGCCTCACCCGACCTGGCATCCTTGACTACTGGGTATAGTAGCTGATGGGATGCTGTAGCCGGGTGATGCGTAGTGTCAAGCTGGTTGTTTTCCCATGGTTCCTGAATGGCCACGACTCCTGCGTCTCTTACGCCTCTCTCCCGCAGAAGTGTGGCCATCACGGGCCATTGTTTATGCGCGTTGTATTGGATGATTTGGAATGCTGATTTCATTGACGAGTCGGGTCGTAGTCGCTGTCCGATGATGCGTCGTGAAAGATCTCTTCCTCCTCCTCGGTCCATGAGTTCACGTAGGTTTCGTATCGAACCCCTTCGATGGGGGTGAAGGGAAAGTTCGTCACGACATCTTCCGGTGGAGGCAGGTCTTGTTCAGCAGTCTGTAGTAGCAATTGTGGTGGTGAGCTTAGTGGTGAATCTGGTATGGCTACCGAGGACCGCATCAACCGCTGGAAGGCCTGGATATCTTCGTCCTCTTCCTGGGCCTGGATATCCTCTAGCCCCACCAACGCGAGGGCCGCTGACGCAGTGTCCTGCATAGCGTGGTCCTCCTCCCCTCTATTATTGAAACGCGCTCGCTTGTGTGGGTTTGGGGCCTCAATGGTCTCGGTAGCTTCGATAGCCGTGTCCGTGCGTACCTCGGAGGCCGCCGCATTGGTGGACGATTTAGAACGGTTCTTGGAGCCTGGTGGTCGGCCTGGGCCTCGGCGTGCCGATTGGCTTAGTTGTTGTGTAGGTGGCTGTGATAACTGTGTGGACTGTTGTGCTGCCGGAGCGTGCTGGGACGCTTCGAGGCCCTGGCCCCGTCGGGATCGCGTGTTGTAATCCGACTGAATCATCACCCGAGGCTGTGGGGGTTTCTTCTGAGCCGACTGAACCGGCTGGACTGGCTGGACCTGTCGCTGAGGTTGCCGGGCTGCGGGTTGTTGAGCCGTGGCCTGCCTATAACGGGCAGGGATGCGGTGAAAAGGTGGCGCTTCGAGCAGACTACTTCTTGCCCTGGCTACCTCTCTCTCGTGAACCTCACATTCGCGGGCAGTAGACCGGTGTGGTCCTTTGCAGTTAGCGCACTTGATAGTTACTACGGCTCCGCGTATGGCCTCGCACTCCCAGGTAGGGTGCTCGGCCGCGCAGTAGCCGCACAGAAAGGTTTTGGAGGGACAGTGAGCCTGAACGTGCCCTGGTTTCTGGCACTTCCTGCAGAACTTCGATCTCCCTTCACGGCAGAAACGGGTGGTTTGGCAGATCCGATGGCCCCAGATAGTGCCAACAGCGATCGCCCGGTTGGCTACGACCGGCGACGACATCTCGATGACCAAGGAGCCCTCGTTCTTCCTCGGAGTAGGCTTAGTGAGCCAGCTCAGGTGGAGGATAATAGGCTCATCCTCACCCTCACTAGACCACTCCGGGTTCTGACGAAGTAGTTCATCCGCAGTCTTATTCATCTCCGCAGGGTCCGTCACGTCGAATAGAGGTAGCCCACGCGCAACTACCCCCCAGGTAGGCCTCTGGATTATTGCATTACCGAACGGTTTTAGCCAGTCTTTGAACTGGGCCTTCCGCATCACCTCCGCCGACGCAGCCGTGTCAGTAATGATCGCTATATCCCCTGAGGGTAGCTTCCGGGCCGCAACCACCCGAATGCCAGCGAGAGCACCACTATCCTTCTTTCTTGCCACGGCTATCCGACCCCGATCTGCCTGGAGGACGAGGTCGGTCTCTGATTTGGACCGGAGCGTTGCCCGTACCGCATCGTCACGAATCTTGACGATAATCTGCCGGTCTTCCTGTAGCTCGGCTTGAGGGACCCCGATCGATGACGTGCCATCCGAGCTTGGCCACGATGACGGGCCAGCCGCGAAGGGGGCTGCTGCCGCGACCGACTGCCGCCACCCCTGGGCACGGAAGCCGCGCCACGCCGCCGCTGAGGATTCGTTGGAGATCGAAGATTGGATACTGCTTGTTGATTTGGAGATCTCCGTGGTTGATTTGGATATCTCACCAGTGGATTTCTCGAGCGTGTTCATCCGCTGGGTGAGGTGGTCGGTGGTGCGGGAGATTTTCTCCAGCGCCAGCAGAACTCTCTCCATCCCCTGCGTATCACCCCGTTGGGCGTTCTGGGCGTATCGATGCACCTGCTTCACGAAGCCATGGACGGCGCCAGTGGTTTCGTGGGCGGATTCATCAATATAGCGGAGTATCGATGCGGCTGCTCTCGCTATCTCCTCCATGCTTTCGAATTGGGCGTGGTTGGTTGGGCGAGTCTCTCGCTGGTTTGGCTGGTGTTGATTTTGCACACGTGGTCCGGTCGGAGGCAGAAAATTCTGTCTTGACGGGTGCACAAATGGCAAATTGGGCGCGCTCGCAACCGCCATCGCTGCTACCGATATCAAACCGGTATCAAACGATAGCGCTTGGGGTCAATTGAAATTTGAACTAGGTCTCAAGGTCCTAGGACCTCTAGTTGTCGAGATATCGCAAGAAATCGATTTCGCCAAGAGATAGTTGCTTTTCCTAGAAATTGATAGTGGCTACATCGTCCACCCACCCAATTCCTCGCACGCAATCATCCTTGCTTGTGCCCTTCATGCACGCAAGGATGAGAGGGGTGTTGAAGATTAGGAAGATGATGGGCGACAGCGGTGATCCCTGGGGGATCCCTGTTGGTGTAAGGAAGATATCTGAGGTATAGCCAGTTGGTAGCCTGATGCGTGTCGAGCGGCCAGTCAAGAAAGACTCTAGCCAAGCGGCGAAATAGCCCAGTCCTAGCCTGCGGAGGTTGTGAAGCAGTCGTTGGTGGGAAACGTTGTCGTATGCGCCGGCAACGTCTAAAAACAGCGCGGAGACCACCCGGTCGTGTCCCCATGCGGTATATACCATATCAAGGATCATCTGTATGGCATGGTCGACACTAATGCCTTTCCTTCCACCTAGATGGGTCCTTGGTAGGAGCTGGTGTTCCTCCACTGCCCACGCGATGCGAGCAGCGACGACTGACTCTAGTACCTTGCCGAGGGTATTTAGCAGGGCGATTGGGCGCCAGGACTTTGGTTTGCGGAAGTCTCTTGGTCCTCCCTTTGGCAGCGTGACGGTAATCGAGTGCTGGAAGTGGCGAGGATTGAAGCCCGTTCGCATACATGCGTCGAAGATAGCTGTCAGAGTGGCCACGAACTCGTGGCTGTCTGCCAAGATCTTCCACACACGGTTCGGGATTGTATCCTCGCCAGGTGCTTTGTCAGGCGGTGTTCTCTTGATAGCGTCCTTGACCTCCTGTTGGGTAATGACAGGGAAGTCCAGCTGTTTCGGTAAGTGCGCATTGGGGATGTCAGAGAGGTCGGCCTCCGGTGGCTGAGGAAAGAACGCCTGGCGGAGGGTCTCTGCTTTCTGCTGGTTCGTCTCTGCCGGGCCGTCTCTCCCGTTGAGTGTTGGGACGTTGCGGCAGGCCGGCTGGTCGCGTACACGCGCCCATTTGGAGACCTTCCAGAGACCGCGGGGACCATCTTCCACCATCCGTCTTACCCAGCCGCGGAAGCCGTTTCTCAGAGCCCTATTGATCATCTTCCCTTTCTTGTTCTTTAGTTCTTTGTATTCGTTCCAGTCCTCCTCCGTTGCGCCATCGGTCTTGCATCGACGGAACGCGCGGCGTGTCTCCTTGATGGCCTCGGTGCACTCAGGGGTCCACTCGGGCTGAGACCATTCGGATGGTCTGGCGAAGGGTGTGGACGCCTGGATGCCTTGTTGGACGATACGCATGAGGTAGTCGGTGGCGTCGTCGATCTGTTGCGGGGTTTGGAGGCTGTCACTGTTACTGCTGATTTGACATAGGTTTGGTTCGACAAATTTCAGAAACTTCTCCACGTCCATCGCCTTCCAGTTCCTCCGCGGGTTTTCCTCGGCCAGGATGGGCGAGATGTCCGTTATAGTGCATATGGGGAGGTGATCCGAGTCGGCATGCACTTTCTCCGTCACCGCACAGCTTACCAGGCGTGTGCGCAGGTTGGCCGTAGCCAAAACCAAGTCGATGGTCGTTGCTGAGTCCTTATCGCGCCTAGTGATTACACCCGGGGGCAGCCACGGATCCAACGCGGCGACGGCCATCAGGTCGAGTAGCTCATCGGCTTTGGGCTCTGGCTGTTGGACCCTGTCGCCTCCCCATACCGGGTGGTGTAGGTTGTAGTCACCCATGATCAGGTAAGAGACGCCCTTCTGACGTTCTCTGGCTGACGGTATGAGTTCTTTCAACAGATCCAAGGCTCCCCAGCTGCCCCTCTCGTTATACAGATTAAACAGCCGAAGCTCTTCGCCGTCGACTAGCGTCATCCGGAGCTCCTGTAGGTCGCGGGAGTGGACAACGTGGGTATACTCGCCTAGTTTCTTTGATACAAACATGCAGACGCGCACACGAGCTGCTTCGACGGGCAGGCTCGGGTCTGTCGGGGGTCGGAGGAGGTCATGGGTGCGTTGGCAAGGCCGGTGAGTGTCGTCTTTGAATTCTGACTTCCACGGCTCTTGGATAGCGATAATATCTGCTGAGAGAACCTCCGGGTCCCTCAGAAACTGAGCCATCACCTTATCTTTCTGTCGGTTCACGTTATATTGGTATGTTTTGAGTTCTCTTGGTGTGTGTTGTTGCCGATTGTACTGATTCATTGACGTTTGGACGGGGCTAGTTTCCTCGGGGTTTTCCGCGCTCCTGGCTTTTCCTTTTGGCGGTTTTCACCGTGTGGCTTCTTCCGCTTCCTGCTGCTCATCTCTGGCAGCGAGCTGGGTCGATCCGGCAGCGATAGTACCGATGGCAGCGATGACGGTTGGAACTCCTGGTCAGATGGCTGTTCCGGCAGGGAAGAGAGGGAGGATGTCGACGGTTCGTTGGTGTTGTATAGCACTAACTGGCCTTCGGGTTCTTGCACATCGCCCTCGGCTTCGGACGTTGATTCCGCCCTTCGCCGGTTTGCGTCCTCGATCAGTTTCGATATCCTCACTGACCTTCTGCTGCTCGAGTCCCCTGACTGGGAGTCCCCGGACCGTTTTCCTCCGCTGGTTGATTGTGATTTCCTTTCCTCCACGGCCTTCATGCGGGCAGCACGTGCCTTGGCGGTTCGCTCTCTGGCTGCTTCGGATTTGGATGATACGGGAGGGAAGGTTCGGTGAAAGACTGGTTGGTGCCGTGTGACGCTGTCGCTCGGCCCGAATTGGTGGTTGTTGAGTGATTCAAGCGAGATTAAGGGGATCACAGGGCGAATCTGTGAGGGTTCAGGTGTGAGTTCCTCTCTAGGTTCTTCCTCTCTGGCCTCTTCCTCCCTGGCCTCCTCTGCTCTGGCCTCGCCTGCTCTGGCCTTTTCTGCCCCTGTGTCGGTCGAGTTTGACACGGTACAGGCTTCCGTGGCCTCTTCTGTTCCTGCCTCCGTTGAATTCAGCTCGGGGTGGGCTTGTGTAGGTTCAGAGGTAGGTTCTTCCTCGGCCTCATCTACCCCAGTATCCATCGAATCTGACGGTTTTTGTCCTTGTTCTATACTGTTGTTTGCCGGAGCCGTTGTCGACTTAGTGTCGGTAGCTGTTGCCGGCTTACTGGCTGTCTTGGTTTTGTTCTTTGTAGTCTTGGTGGTTTTGGTGGCCGCCGCCTTGGTGACCGGCGTGGCCACGCTTTGGGCGGATCGAGATGGGACAGGACCGGTATCCTGCGAGCCTCCGTTGTTGGGCTGTGCGGCTGGTACATCGCTACTCGTACCGCTAAGCTCTTCGCTGGATGAGCTTTGGGGGGTTCCCCATGAGCTGACGGAGGAGGGCTGCAGGTTCGCCAGTGGCTGTCGGATGCTGAACGGCGCGGGGACTGGATGAAATCTTCCCCGGTATTTGGCTCGCTCATTCATCCGCTCGACCTCCTGGACACGAAGCTGACAGTCCTGACTCCATGCAGCGTGTGCGCCTTCGCAGTTGGCACATTTGTGTTTTTCGCGTGTATCCTTCGAAGGGCAATCCCGAGACTGATGGCCCTCCGCGCAGTACACGCATCTGATGGGTTGGGAACAGGCGGTTCCTATGTGTCCAAACTTTTGACAGTTGAAGCACTGTCGCAGGCGAGACTCACGGTCGTATAAGACCGCCATCAGGTTATTACAGTCCCACAGGACTCCGTGGCTAATGGCCGCATTTGCAGGGACTGGCGAGGTGAATTCGAGGACAAGGGAGCCGCTCTTACCCGACGGAATCTTCAGCCAATAGATCTTGGCTATCTCCGCCTTCGTTCCCCAGAACTGGATATTCTCCGCCAGCAGGTCTTTGATCACCGTCTCTTGCGGCAAGTCCTCCGACGCCCGGTTGATTCTCAGAGAGCGTACGTTGACGTCGTGAACCACCACTCCCCACGTCGGTAGGTGGACGAAGGCGGTCTTGCAGAGCCCCTTAGTCCACTTCTCACGGTGTATCCGTAAGATCTCTGCCTCCTTCGCGTCACGCACGGTGAACCGGATGTCACCCGATTTGAGCTGTCGGGACGCCAGGATCATCACCTGGGCGAGTGCCGGTGTCGGGTCGCAGGCGGATTGTGCGGCTTTAGCCCTTGCCTGGTTGGCACGCTTGGTGAGTTCAGCGCTGGTCATCCTACGGAACAGGCTAACCTGCGAGCGGTCCCCCAAGCATACGACCACTTCCCGGTCACGTGCTACTTCCGAGACTCGCGCGGGCGCAGAATCGGATGAGCTGGGGGAGGAGGACAGGTAGTGTACGGGCGCTGGCGCCCTTCTGGCTTGCTCAGCGAAGGATCTGACGGTCTGTCTCGCCGGCGGTTCGACTGCCATCTTGATGTCCTGCATATCTTTGCGGATCGCGGTGAGTTCTGCCTGCCAGTCCGTCTGCAGCGGTGTCAACAGGAGGTCCTTCGTCAACGCCTCCATACGCTTCAGGAAGTCGGCGATCTTGGAATACTGTGTCTCTGGGGCCTTCACCCCGTTCTGCTTGCTGCGCAGTGCTTTCAATAGTGCTTGTGCATCATGATTGGCGTTCAGTACGCGCTCACGGTTCGATGGCAGAGATTTCGATGGGCCTCCGGGCGCCCCTGACGGGACAGGCCCAACACCCTTTTGCGCGCGCACCACCATGATACTGGCCTGACAGGGTCAATGCCGGTATCAAGGTGTAGCGCAGGGAGTTAGATGAAATTTGCCGTGGTCTGTTACTCGCTAACTGGTCTGGTTCCTGAGATATTTCAAAAGTTCAATTTGGCGCTGAAGTTGTTGTTTTCCCCGAGACTGATGGCCCTCCGCGCAGTACACGCATCTGATGGGTTGGGAACAGGCGGTTCCTATGTGTCCAAACTTTTGACAGTTGAAGCACTGTCGCAGGCGAGACTCGCGGTCGTACAAGACCGCCATGAGGT